ACCCCACTGCAAAGGTTGGGATTCATTTTTCCTGGAGTTCTTCTTTAATATTTTACAAACCTTGTATAGTTTGTTTTTTATAAATGCTTTTGGATGCAGCTGTACTAGTTGAAAATAAGGTCCGTCATTAAAACAGAAAGCTTATATTTAACAATTTGATTAGCATTCCCCGCCCCGCAGCTATACAACAAAAAGGCCCAGGGAACGCCCCTGGCGCAACTGCCAACATGGATTTGGTTGGGAGAGGGGGGTGGTGGTTGTAGTTTTCAGTGGGGTTGGCTCAAAACTATGACCGCCAACCCCTCCTCCCGACCCAATCAGTTGCAGCTATACATCAGAAAGGGGTGGGGATCAGGGAACTGCCACCATACATTGGGTTGGGAGATAGGGTGGCAGTCGTAGTTTTGAGCGTGGTTGGCCTAACTCAAATGTTTATACCAAGCCCAGCCTCATCCCTAATGGCTAGCTTTACCAACAGAGTCCCTCAGAGATATAAGAAATTGTCAGGTAGATCAACTCTAAATTTTTGGTGGACTAAGCCTCTAAATAATGAAAGAACAATAGCGGGAAATTATGTTACTTTAGTACATCCGTTGTTTTATTTTATTTAACAGCCTCATTAGTATGTGCTTTTGTAGATAATATAGATGTTGCATTAACTTGATTTTTGTTGATTAAGAGAGTGAAAACGAATGATCGAAAGTCATCATGAGAACATGTAGGGCAAAGGTAGGACAAACAGAGTAGGAGGGTGATTAATAAAAATGGAGATCGTTAAAGCAACAGGGGGAAACAAGACAGACGATAAACAAGGAGCAGGAGGCCAGAGGGAGTTAAAGAAGATTGAGAGCATGAAAGGGAGTACTGAAATAATAGTCAACATTAGCCAATCAGGCAGAGCAAATGAACGGAAATTGAAAGAGGGAAGGCTATAATTATACTTTTCAAGTGAAAAAAAAAGCCTAAAGAATGCTGAGAAATTAAAAAAAAAAGGGAAAAAAGAGTCAATTTTACTCCAGAGACCCGATGGATGGAAAGATCAGATTTATGATTGTCAGAGGGACAATCTTGCAGGTTCTCTTGTAGTCATCCAGCACTGTGAGAACGAGTGAAGTCATTAATTCAATTCAAGTGTGATTACAGACATTGGTAATTTTATATCTGTGTGGTACTGTGTGCCATTGGACCGGCATGTTAATGTTACCAGATATTCCCAGCGCAGAGGACTCTTCAAGACTGATATGAAAGAGGAGCTATGTGTGTCCTGACAACCCAGAGAAAGGTCATGTCTGAAGGAGAAGAAAATCACCCAAGGGGGAGGGAGACGAGGGAGGGAAAAAATAGGAAACAAGGGGGGAATAAATTGATCGGGGGGAAGATTACAGGCAGATGGTGACAAATGGAAATCCTGAGTTTAGCGCATGATAAAAAGAAAACAAATTAATGATGAGAATCTTATTACAGTTCAATAAAATCAGAAAGGCCTACACAGATTTAAGGGGGATATAGAATTTGGCTTCAGGTAAGGGCATTGCTGCACAGAATTATGCCACTGGGCAACCAAAAATGAACTATGCTCTCCCTCGGCTTTTGAAAAAATAAGAACCTGGCTTATTCCACAGGGACCTGCGACAAGGCAAAGCAGCAATTTATTCCTCAGGTTTCTGGGATTTTCATAGGTCAGGTTCTTAAAGTACAACAGTGGCCAAGATATGGACATTCAAATAGATACACAGTAATAGCTGTAAAAAGGCTTTAAAATAAGCCATCAATGACCTGTCTAGTTGCAGCCACTGTAGAGCAATTCATCCTCAAAATGCACAATAAAAGCAGTGAAGTTGTTCAGGTCGTGTCTCAGCACATTTCATGCTCCCCTTTTGTTGTGCACCTGTTCTGTGTTAGGCCCAGTTCACACTTGCGGCACGCATGAACCTACGACTTGTTTGTGCATGTTTTGAAGTGTTTGCCACACATTAGCCCATTCATTTCAATGGGCTGACCTACAAGTGACAAACACGGCAAAGAAGCTTATGCAGTACCTTAAGCTGTGAGCTTCCCGCATTTTTGGACCATGCATTTAATACATACCGGCGCTCGCTCACTTCTCGATCTATCCCTGCAGAGAGCCTTGACAGGGGAGGGACTGGATTCCCCCCTCCCCTATTCGATCCTCCAGCGCTGACTGGCGGAACGGACGGGGGAAGGGGCGGGTACAGCTGGTACTATAGAGCTCTGGGACTACAGAGTTGGTCATAGTAACCATCTATGTAAGCCCCAGTTCTTCAATTATCAGGCTTACTTTGAGCAGTCCTTACGAATGACTCTCCACCATCTCTCATCTTTGTGACTGGCATATGATATGCCCTCAGACTGATGGCCCCTGGGGGGGGTATCAATTCGTCAGGTTAAGCTGGGTTTCAGTTTTTGAGCTCAAAAGAACAAAATCTAACGGACTCCTCTATCCAGAGTAAACAGCTGAGATGGAGTTATTCACCACTGCGGCTATTGTACTTTGAAACGCATCAATTATGGAGCACATAGAAAACATGGATTTAACGGGTGACATTGTTACTAGTGTCTGGCCAGTTAAGAGTATAATTTTTTTTGTTATATCTCTTCATCAGACCTAAAAAAAAAAGAACAATGGCAAGGTAGAGCAGTACAGAGCTTGTGTACATGGGAATTGTTTTTCTGCGTTTCAAACAAGCGCATATGAAAAGCGTATTGATTTCCTGCAGTGACGCCATTAATGTAAACTTTGGGAAGTGTCTACTTTCTGGAGTTCTGACTCTTGTTGAGGAATCTGATCACAATGTCTTCATATTCACCTTTTATTGTAGCTGCCACACCAACTGCCATCATCTTTATTCACTATGAGGCGACATAAGAAGCGCAGATACCTGAGTCATAGAGAGCAGAGAGGGAGCTTTAGTTTATGTATACTGACCTCAGACCTGAATGTCTATAAAAAAAGGTGACTTCTGATGATCATACATCAATATAGCCCCTGTCACCTTGTACTGTATTGACTGCTAACAACTTCTATTTTACAGTTTTTACTAGGGGTTAAAAACGCATAAAAATGCATCAGAACGCATTATACGTGCATTTTTAATTGCCATCAAAAGCCTTAAAGCTCATGAAATAGCACAGAAAAGCAGACATGTTTCAATTTGCAAAACGCAATGCAGTGCATAGATGTGAATGGGCTAATTGGATTAACGCTGCTTTTACAGCTGAGTGCGAGCGTTTACAGGAAATTTGGGAGTGTTTTTATATGTTGCACTTTTTTGTGGTGTATTCAAACTTGCGCGTTTTTGTTCTAGCCAATGAAAAGTTACGTACTAGGAGAAGGAGATAGATGTTTAGCCTTGAAAAAGCCTAATTTTCAGGAATTTATTTTAGGTGCTTAAATTAAAATATATGAGACCAAAAGCTCCTGTACCTTCTTGATCTTCAGGCGTCAAGCTACAGATGTCTGAGCCCTTATACGTGAACAGGGGCAATGTAAACATGTAGGATTATGGCTGTTGAGCTTTTTGGAGCTCTGAGCTTCAAGCCGGGCTCAATCAGAGCTAAAAGTGTTCCCAGGGGCGTCCCTTGACATCTCGCTGTGATCTCAAAGCTCATAATGTATGTCCAGGGGCGGCGTGGGGGATTTTTGGCTTGGTGGTGGCTCGTAGTGCATGTTCCGGGTAGGGTTGGGCAGATCGGATAATGCCATCAGAGACTGCGAAGGTGCACGGCGTCCTGCCAAGCTCACTAACATCACTGGTTGCCAGGAGCTGACCAGGATACAAGGCAGAGGATCCCACTCGGCTCCTGGCAACCAGTGACGTCAGTGAGCTGGGAAGGACGCCGGCCAGAGCGTCACAGGTTGCTAAGAACTCTTGGCAACTTGGAATGCTCTGGCCAGAAAGGAGATGGCAGGCACACCTGCCGACCCCACCATGTGACCCAATCAGATGCCGCCTCATTTTAGGGACAGCCTGAGTGTTCCTATGACACATCCATTGTTTTGCGTTCTAAAATGTGAAGGTGCAAACAGGACCTAAAGTTGTCCATACACTGGTTGACTTCCATATGAATGTTTATAGGGTTGATAAATCAGAACATTCGATAATGCCATCAGAGACTTGACGAAGGACGCTGGAAATCTTGTTCAATTTTAACATTTGATTTTGGAATTAATGGACTGAAAACCAGATTCACTGCTAAGCTGGCCATACACTGTTCAATTTTTTTTTTTGCATTCACCCTCTGGGCTTACGGGCATTGATGGATCCGCCGCTGTTTCCTTTTTAGAATAGTGCTTGCAGCTGTTTGGCTGCAACCACCATCCGGGCAAAGATTTTCCAACCAGTTCTTTCGATAAGCTTATTGTCAGTGGCACCCACTGTGTGAATTTCGGTCGCTTCATGAAGAACTGGATGAAATTCGCATAGAATATGGCCAGCTTTAGAATTTAATTTGCTCAAGAAAAATCCATCCTGCCCCTTGCATTCTTTTCATCAACGCGGTCACAAACGATTGTCGATTTCACCTAATTGCCTAACATTCTGAAATTTTTTTTTTCCCCAACGATATTCTACTGGTGTATGACTGGCTTTAGATGTGTATGAGGATGATCAAAGGCTGCAGGGTGAAGATTAATAAAAGGGATCCTAGGTGTTGGTGGATGATAGTGGTGGTGGATGATGGTGGTGGTGGTGGGGAGGATAGGTAGGAAGAAGAAGAGAAGAAAAGAAGAAAGAGTTAAGAAAGAGAAGGTGAAAAGGGGAGGGAAGAAGGCAGGGACTGAAAGAAAGAGAAGGAGAGAAGAGGAGGGGGAAGAGGTGGGACGGAGATCTGCTCTCTGCCTCAGCATTCTGACAATGCCTTGAAATATCTTACTTTTCATCAGTTTATTTCTGGGCTGCCATTCACACGCTGCACACACACACCGGTGATGGACACAGCTCTGAGCTCTGACTATTAGACCCAACACAAGAGGCTCACCGACCCCCCTTCACCCGACATCCCGATCTCTGCAGGGGGGCTCCTGATTCCTGCCCGTGGCTGTGTCTGTCATTCCATCCTGACGGGTCCATGGAGAAAGTCCAAGAGGAGAATGACACGGAGCGGTGGGAGAGACCGGACATAACAGACGCCGAGAGGGGCATCATCAAGGACACCTGGGATCGTCTGTATGCAAACTGTGAGGACGTTGGGGTCTCTATACTGATCAGGTAATGTCACAGCAGGAAATGAGAGAACATGCTGTCCTGATCTGTCACCGAGCGCAGGATGTCATATGTCAGATGTACACAGATCTATGCTGGGAAGCCCTCTGTGACCCCTCTGCCTGTCATTGGCACATGGAGAGTGACTTGGGGGCAGCACATGCACAGAAGCAGGGCACTCTCTACCTACCATTCACGATCCACTGCCACCCTACACAGAGCAGGGCTCTGCCAGCATGCATAAAGCTGGGCACTCTACCTGCCATACACTGCCAACATGCACAATTCATTGCCACCATGCACAGAGCAGGGCACTCTCTACCTGCCATTCACGATCCACTGCCACCCTACACAGAGCAGGGCTCTGCCAGCATGCAAAGAGCTGGGCACTCTCTACATGCCATACACTGCCAGCATGCAAAGAGCTTGGCACTCTCTACATGCCATACACTGCCACCATGCACAAAGCAGGGCCCTGCCAGCATGCACAATCCATTGCCAGCATGCACAGAGCAGGGCACATTGTATCTACCATGCATGATCCACTGCCACCATGCATAAAGCAGGGCACTCTTTACTTGTCATGAACAATCCACTGCCACCATGCACAGAGCTGGGGACTCTCTACCTGTCATGCACAAGAGCAGGACAATCTCTACCTGCCATTCACAGTCCATTGCCACCATGCAAAGAGCTGGGGACTCTCTACCTTTCATACACAAGAGCAGGACAATCTCTACCTGCCATTCATGATCCACTGCCACCATGCATACAGCAGGGCACGCTTTACTTGCCATGCATGATCCACTGAGACCATGCAAAACAGCAGGACATTCTCTAGCTACTATGCACCATCCACTGCCACCATGCACAGCAGCAGGGCACTCTACATGTTATGCATGATCCACTGATACCATGCACAGATCAGGGAACTCTCTACTTACCATGCACGATCTACTGCCTCTATCCACAGAGCAGGGGAATCTCTACCTACCATGTAAGATCCTCTTCCTCCATGCTTCAGCAGGGCACTCTCTACCTACCATGCAAGATCCACTGCCTCCATCCACAGAGCAGGGCACTCTCTACCTACCATGCAAGATCCACTGCCTCCATCCACAGAGCAGGGACCTCTCTACCTACCATGCAAGATCCCTTGCCTCCATGCACAGAGCAGGGCACTCTACCTACCATGCACAATCAACTACCACCATGCACAGAGCAGGGCACTTTCTGCCTACCATGCAATATCCACTGCCACAATTCACAGAGCAGGGGACTCTCTACCTATCATGTACAATCCACTGCCACCATGCACAGAGTAGTACACTCTCTGCCGGTCATGCACAATCCACTGCCACCATGCACGGAGCTGGGCACTCTCTACCTGTCATGCAGGATGCACTGCCACCATGCACAGAGCAGGGCACTCTCTACCTGTCATGCAGGATCCACTGCCACCATGCACAGAGCAGGGCATTCTTTACCTGCCATGAATAATCCACTGCCACCATGCACAGCCAGAGAACTTCCCACACTCTGGCATGATCACATACATAGATGAGCTTTTCTACTTGCAAGAAGGTTCCCTCTATATGCCATCTTCACAGAATGGGGGGCCCAGGAATTGTTCTGTGTCAGATAGAATGAGGATTCCCCTTTGCCTGCCAGGCTTGCAAACAGCCAGCAATCTGTTCTGATTTGCTTAAAGGATTTTTACCCCCTTGGTATTTATAGTCTGTAGACCTTTCATCCTGAATCCGTGCTATTGCAGAAAGCAGTTTTAGGGTTAACATGGACACTTAATGTAGGTGAATGACTTGAGCTCAGCTGCGGGATCCTGATGTCATAATATCCTGAGGGAAGCCACCCTGTGACTTCTCTGTTTATGTTACATTTTCTATTTTTTACTATTCCCTGGCATGTTCCAGCAGGGGGATTCTGACAAGTGTGTGCTACTTCTGCTCTGAGGTGTAAGGACAATGAGAACAGCTGATGTTCTCTAAACACTCAATGGTAACAACATTTTGCTAATGTATCTGATCATCATTCAGCTGCATTATGCCTCATTTGACGTCTTGCATTTGTTTAACCTTCATTCTATTTTTGTGGTGAGAAGAAATATTCTTTTCCCAACTGTTTATTTATTTTCTTAGATAATAAGATCAATTGACAAAGCTAACGCACTAGAATGAGAATACTTATTTTAAAAACATGACGGTTATTTTCAGTTGAGTCCAATATGATTAGGACATTACAGTCACATGGTTAAAATAAACATCCTTATCCTTGTGTTAAAGGTTTGTGAATTCACGCTGATTAGTTGAGATAAATATTGACATTTTGCAATAGATTCACTACAGGTCAAATGTAGAAAAATAGTTTAGATGTTCAAAGTCAAAGCATTAAAATGGGAATAACTATACGTAAATGGTAATACATCAGGGCATACATGATCTTTACCAGCACTGGTTTTTTATTGACTAACTGCACGACATAGCAGTCGGGCTAAGACTGCTTAAGCAAGTGATTAAAACTAAAGTTTCTAATAAACATGAAATAATAGTCAAAATGACTGACTGCCGAATGCTTGTATCATGGGTATGCCTTGAAGAGACAAACCTAAAGCCTCTCTATTATCAAGGAACATTATAATCTGACAAGGAAAGCCAGCTAAATGATGCATTCTTCTGCCAACATTGCTCTGCCTGGGGGTGCTTGTAGAAATTGTAGACAGCCAATAGACCTTAAGTCATTTTCAGCTAGACCATAATTGACCAGAATGGGTGACAATCGTCTCACATAACCGGGCACCTTTAGAATAGGAAGAAAAAAAAATGTACAAAATGGGAGTTTAGAAATGATTAGTGAAATATATCAAAACTAAACAAACTAGTACTGAAAAGTGACGGTTATTTTTAGTTGAGTCCAATGGGATTACAGTCATGTGGCTAAAATAAACATAATTTTCCTTATGATAAAGGTTTGTGAATACAGCCTAATTTATAAAAAGAAATATTGACATTTGAAATTGAATTCACATCAAACTCAGATGTAGCAGAATAGTTTAAATGCTCATAAATCAAAGCATTAGAAAAGGAAATAGCAGACCCCTGAAGGTTAGGAGGACCATTTGGGCAGGTTTGTTAATTACAAACAGCAGTGATCTCCAAGGCTGAATATAAACTAATTAGAAAGCTGAATTTTGATTGGATGCGAGGGGTTACTGCACCGCCATTTCTTTTTTGTGTTGTGATGTTGAAATAGGTTGCATATAGGAAGGTTTCACAGCTGACTCCCCTTATAAGTGCTGTAATCAATCATCTTAATGGCGCTATTAGTTGTAAGAGTAGAGAAGGGCATGCTGGGACAGTTTTGTCTGTCCATAGACATCCACTAGCTGCACACTACAGTTCAAAGCATATGTATTTAAAGTGGTTATCTGTAGCAATACTTTAGGAATATTTACAGCCCTAGAAGTGGATGTTGACTAAAATATGTCTTTCTTTAACAGTTATAAAAGTCAATTTGCATTTTACAGTAATAACATAAATATATACCGTATATATATATATATATA